AACTTAAAATTCAAAGTTAAGGATAGACAGTCCTTAAGTTTTTAACATAGGACTATAACTTAAGGACCTCATGTCCTTAACTTTTGAACTTGAAATTCAATGTTAAGGACAGACAGTCCTTAAGTTTTCAAAATTGCAAGTTGAACTTACTGACTCCTGTTAATAACTTTTAATTGTTGAACTCAAAAGAAATTAAAAGAACGTAACAAGATATAAATATTGAAAATCTAGGCATCCGCTCAAATTAGAATAATAATGAATACAATCAATAGCAAAAACTTAAAAGAGTCTATAAACATAAGTGTATATTTCTACTATTCTCTATGCTTTCTTGAAAATGGATGGAGTGCCGGAGAATATATACAAGTTGTTCTATTATGACCAATTCTTCTGCAACGACCACATTTGAATGTTATTTTTGATGGCTCGGTAGCAGGAATATGCCTTTTCTTTTGCCTTCTACCTGGTGGCACTTTGAAATCTGGAGGTTTAACAATTTGTGACTTAACACTCTCTGGTACAATCCATGAATCAGTATGTCCTACAGGATGTATTTGTCTTTCATATGTTTTCAGCCAAGATTCCTTTAAGTACCAGTGCGAACAAAAGTCAGACTTCTTGATGTTTCTCTTCTCGATAGCTGCAATTGCATGTATGCATGGTAATTCATCAAGTTGAAATTGAAAACAATCACATGTTCTTTTGTTTAAGTCCACCAAGAAAGTTATTCCTTCTTCTTCAACTCTAGAACGCCATGAATCAACAGGGAAGACCTTCAATATTGAAAAATTATAAGTGAGTACATTATGTTAAAAAATGTTAAAATCATAATATAAACATAAAACATAATACTTACGTTTAAAGTAAATGCTAAATCTATTCTTTTCTTCAATTCCTCCTCTACCCAACAAGAAACATCATAAAATGTTCCTTCTGCTTTCTTTCTTCTTTCATAAAACCAATGTTGTAGCTTCACTTGAATGAAATCCATCATTCTTAGTATAGGCAGCTCCCTTGCTTCTAATAGCACTGAATTCATCGACTCAACTATGTTTGTTGTGAGCATGTCATATCTTCGTTGTGGACTACAAGAACGTGCCCATCTTTCCGGTGGTTCTTCCATCAAGTAGTCATAAGTTTTCTTATCTACATTTGCAATATCTGACATGTATATGTCAAATTCTTTACGCTTGTATACTCTTGCAGCACTTTGGAAAAGTTTTATGACCTCACTTTTCACCTTTCTTCGCTTTAGGTTCTGCTCCAAATGATAGATGCAAATCCCATGATGGCTTTCAGGATATACCTTTACAATGCCATTTGCAATAGCTTGATGCCTGTCTGATAAAAAAATCAAATTCTCACGGCTCCCAATTGCATTGCGAAGCTGACTAAAGTACCACTCATAGGAATTGTTGTTTTCAGATTCTGCTATTCCAAAGGCTAATGGGAAAATTTGGTTATTTGCATCTTTTGAAACTGAAATCATTAAAACACCACGATATTTTGACTTCAAAAAAGTTGCATCAACAGCAATCACTGGTCTACAATGATTCCAACCAGCTATCGATGATCCATATGCGTAAAACATATAAAGAAACCTGAAAATACAATATAAAACAAGGTTAAAATACCTGAAGTTTAGGACAGTCAGTCCTTAACTTACATTTATAAGTTATAAAGTTAAGGAATGTTGTCCTTAACTTTTAAATTCAAAGTTCAAAACTTAAGGACCGAAAGTCCTTAACTTTTAATTACAAGTTCAAAACATAAGGATAGGCAGTCTTCAACTTCTGGTTACAACTCAAAAGTTAACAAGGCTAAAGACAGCATGTCCTAAATTGTTTACCTGTTGTTGTCGTCTATCTTTATGTTAGTATAAGTTCTCGGGTTCTTACTTGTCATCATATACAAGTACGAACACAATAATCCATAATTTTCTTCGGGACTTCCTCTTATTAAAGCGGAAGCATGTTGAATAGCACGCCACGCCTTGTGATATCCAATGTCTAGTCCATGCAATTTTTGCATCTCTGCCATGACAAAAGCTGGTGTAACTTCAAATCTTGGGTCCCGAAGATTATCGATAATGTAACCACTAATCAACTTTGAAGTAGCATGCCTTTGATTTGTTTTCCTAGTGTTAACAGAGCAGTCATGCTTTTTCTCAAGCTTTACTATCTTGAATAATGTTGAGTCTTTAATTCTGAAAGCACACACACACCAACGACACCTATCATCATTGCATGTCAACGAATATCTTGTTGAGCTTGATCTAACAACTTTGAATTCAAAATGTCCTTTGATTGCTATATTGGAAAAAACAGTTAATTATGCTCTTCTTCTTGTCAAATACTGATCCGACTTTTATTTTATCCAAGGAAGCATTTTCTCTTAATATCGTAGTTGGGGATTCTTTTTGTTTCAAATTTGATCTTCGTTTAGTTATTTGAGTGCAGGTTTTGTCAGCAACTACTTCGATTACCGGTGCACTCTCTAAGACTTGAATACCCAAAGCTTGTTCGTTGTCAATCTCTATAATGCTTTGTCCTTCTACTTGAATAGAATCAAATGTTTGATGCACCTCTTCATTTAATGGTTGAGCTTCAACCATATCTACTTCAACTATCTGTTGGCATCGCTCTTGATTGTCATGTTGAGTTTTTGTGTTGGCATGTTCATTGCTTGTTGATGCAAAAACTCTTTCCGAAATATCAACTATGAAACGACAGCTCTTGAAGAGTGAATGAGTTTTTAGCAACTCTATACATGTGTGAAGATCTAAATCTTTGGATACAAGCATTCCTTTGCTTGTTCCAAGGTTGATATCAAACCATATCACTATTTCAAACTTTTCTCTATCCAATTCAATAAGCTCAAAAATCTTTTTAACGAAATCTTCAAACTGAATTGACTCAGGTGCGAGGAAAAGCTTTGTTTGATGATCAAGATATTTATAGTCTTCAGTCCATCTACCATTAAAAACAACTATTATGCATATTGTTTCCATCCTACAAATCAAGAGAATGGGAAACAAAGGACATACGCTATAAAGCAATCCTTGTAGAATTAAGAACATGTGTACTGTAAGTGCAAGACCAAGATAAGGACTGCCTGTCCTTAACATTTAAACATGGAATTAAAAGTTAAGGACTGTCTATCCTTAACTTTTGAACCAGAAATTAAAACTTAAGGACTGCATGTCCTTAACTTTTGAACCAGAAATTAAAAGCTAAGGGCTGCATGTCCTTTAATATTTAAACATATAATTAAAGTTAAGGACTGCTAATCCTTAACATTTAAACATGGAATTAAAAGTTAAGGACTGCCAGTCCTTAAGTTCTAAATATGGAATTAAAAGTTAAGGATTGTCAGTCCTTAACTTTTGAACCAAAAATTAAAAGCTAAGGACGGCCTGTCCTTTAACATTTAAACATGTAATTAAAGTTAAGGACTGTCAGTCCTTAACATTTAAACATGGAATTAAAAGTTAAGGACGACCAACCCTTAACTTTTGAACCAGAAATTAAAAGCTAAGGACTGCATGTCCTTTAACATTTAAACATGTAATTAAAGTTAAGAACTGCCAGTCCTTAACATTTAAACATGAAATTAAAAGTTAAGGACGGCCAACCCTTAACTTTTGAACCAAAAATTAAAAGCTAAGGACTGTCTGTCCTTTAACATTTAAACATGTAATTAAATTTAAGGACTGCCAGTCCTTAACATTTAAACATGGAATTAAAAGTTAAGGACTATCAGTCCTTAACTTTTGAACCAGAAATTAAAAGCTAAGGACTGTCTGTCCTTTAACATTTAAACATGGAATTAAAGTTAAGGACTGCCAGTCCTTAACATTTAAACATGGAATTAAAGTTAAGGACTGCCAGTCCTTAACATTTAAACATGGAATTAAAGTTAAGGACTGCCAGTCCTTAACATTTAAACATGGAATTAAAGTTAAGGACTGCCAGTCCTTAACATTTAAACATGGAATTAAAGTTAAGGACTGCCAGTCCTTAACATTTAAACATGGAATTAAAGTTAAGGACTGCCAGTCCTTAACATTTAAACATGGAATTAAAGTTAAGGACTGCCAGTCCTTAACATTTAAACATGGAATTAAAGTTAAGGACTGCCAGTCCTTAACATTTAAACATGGAATTAAAGTTAAGGACTGCCAGTCCTTAACATTTAAACATGGAATTAAAGTTAAGGACTGCCAGTCCTTAACCTTTAAACATCGAATTAAAAGTTAAGGACTATCAGTCCTTAACTTTTGAACCAGAAATTAAAAGCTAAGGACTGCATGTCCTTTAACATTTAAACATGAAATTAAAAGTTAAGGACTGCTAGTCCTTAACATTTAAACATGTATTTAAGAGCNAAAAGTTAAGGACTGTCAGTCCTTAACATTTGAACCAGAAATTAAAACATACAATTTGAAACTCAAGCTACAGGACATTGTATACAGAAGAACAGCAACAAAGTGAATGACATTTTGTCCTTAAGTTTTTTTATTCAATTTGCAAAATGAGGCCAGTAGAATCAAAGTTAAGGACATAGTGTTCTTATTTTTTTGAATTCAATTTCCAAAATGAAGACACTATGTCCGGAATACAGAATTATCATAGGAGGCGATGTCTATAAATTTATCAATCCAGAAATTAAAAAAAAAATTCTTATCTAATATATAATCAAATCAATACAGATCTAAAAAAGTATAACTATAGCGAAATAAAAATCGATTGAAACACATGAAATTACAACTTACTGTTTATATATGTCGTTTTTTTGGATTAGAATGCTGAATTTTTGACATCGGGAAGAGAAATGGTGGTTCGTCCTCAGTTGATCGCCGCTGTGGTAACTGCTGCTGCTGCTCGCTTCTTCTCTTTGTGTAACTGCTGCTTGTGTTGATAGCATAGGTATAAGTTATACCAGAAGGGTATTTTCGTCCAGTCAAGTATAAATTTTTTAAAGAAGTGGCTAAAGTCTAAATACATTGAAAACAGTGGCTTTAAAATAAAAGCCACTGCTTTTAGTGGCTATTTGTGTCGTTCGCCCCCAAAGAGATGCCTAACTCTGAAAGGACCATTTTTTTTAATTATGAATTTAGAATTTGAAGTTAGTGTTTAGAAGTAGATATTGTTTATTGTATCTATCTACTTTGTATTCAGCTTCTTGCCCTCCAAGATTATTACAGGAGATGTTTCAGTTATCCTCCACTTATTTCCAAAATTGGTGCCAAAATAATCATAGGCACATCACACATGCCCTTTACAAATGTAATGGATCCCACAATAAATAAAATATACCTTTGGGATGTTGCCCGGCTATGCAAAAAGAATTGAAGAGCTTATGTATGCCACCACCGGGCTTATAATCAGGGGCGAAGCGATATTTACTAGTGGTCAATTGACCATCTTTTATTAAAAAATTACACTATATATATAGCTAAAATATTATATTTTGAAGGTAAATAACATATAATAAATACCCTTTATCGAGGAATTATTTTCACTTCTTTCAAGTTTAAATACCATTAGAGGAATTTCTGACTCCATCCCGTCAAAAGAGATGAAGAGTGCAGTCTAACTCGTAATGCCGGTAGGAGCATTTGTATCTGAAAAATCTGAACAATGGAACGAGTCTAACAACTTGTTTGGATGATTGTTAAATGTTAGGATTGTATCGTATTGTTATTTTAAATACAATGTTTGTTTTAAATGTTACTTAAATTTTATTGTACCGTATTGTTAAATCCGTTATTACGTTACGACGAAAAATGCCACTTTATGGAACGAATGATTTGGTGTGATTGCGTCGTTTCCTTATTTTATTCTTCTCATTTTGTTCTTTTTTATTATTACAGAAAATCCAATTTTATCCTTTATTCTACCTTTTTATATAGTAATATTACCTCAAACCTTTACTTTTTCTTTATAATATTACAAGTTTATTCTTTATATTGTTGGTGCATGACTTCATGAAACGATGGCAAACAATACAATCTATCCAAATATTATATATATCAAAATAATACGGTACAATATTATACGATTCATTATGAGACAATACATAACAACCATCCAAACAAGCTGTAAAATATTAAATCTGTCTCACCTACTTGCCTCCTTCCAAAAGGAGGGAGGACAAGTGTTTGAGAAAACAATTTTACATAGCAAATCATAATTCTTGTGAATTCAATCTTTTAAATGAGATCATTTACGTATCATAAACATTCACATATATTATCATAAACATGTAAACTCACATGCATTTGATAAATAGCACTATGTTCCAATTTATGTGAATCTATTTAATTATATGTGAATCCATTTGATTGAGCACGGAGTTTGAAAAAGAAATTGAAGACACTTAAAACTTGTGATCGTCAACAAACCATTACATTTGTGTGACTATAACTTTTTTGAAATTTGTGGTATTAAACATGCCTAAGTAATTATGTGACTAAAAGTTTCTCATTAAGGATAGAATTAGAAGTTGAATTAAATTATTTTCAAATTTAAAAACGAGTCTTTCTTTTTTGAATGGTCCACAAAGGAAGTAGGCACTTTTGGGTCCACAAAAATTCAGGTCTACAAAACTGTGAGACAAAAAAGATGTCTCATACAACTAGTGTAAGTTGTATAAGATACAAAATAAAATTTTTCTTAGTTTGGATATTGTTGAGTCCGAAACCTTTTTAATCATTTTTTGGACAAAAACACTTTTGTACTACTTTAAAAAAAAAAGTTACATAAATGAGTAAAATGCAGTATTATACTGCGAATTACTTTAACGGAAATTTTGCCGTTAAAGTAATTTGCAGTATAGTACTGCGTTTTACTTAATAAATTATTTTTTTTGTAATTCGCAGTACTATACTGCTGGGCCTATATTTTATTAAAGTTGTTCGCAGTATTATACTGCGTTTTACTTAAAACGCAGTATAATAC